CCCCAAAACCCCAAAACCCCAAAACCCCAAAACCCCAAAACCCCAAAACCCCACTACATATTAATTCAATTGAATTGATTATTAAATATTTCTCGAAAATTCCTGAACAATGATTTCCTCAAACGACCACTACGAAGTGCTTGGGCTTGAAAAAGAGTGAACTGAAAAAGGTATGTTTGCTACTCCATCCCTCCAGTTGTTTTACAATTGCTCGTAGTTAACTGCTAAGGCTGAAATTTTAGATTTTGCTCACCTGGTATATAGACATCAAGAAGAATTATCGTAAACTTGTCATGGAGTATCATCCAGATCGTAATTTTGGAGTCAATGAATTCTCGGATTCGGCTTTTAAATAAGATCAAAAGAGCTTACGATGTGCTCTCAGATCCTGAGCTCAAACAAAAATACGATGATAAGAAGAAGCTATACACGAAATATAATAACTTTATTAACAAAAACAAAGACCGAAAGGATAATAGAGACTCTGAATACGCCTTTAGCCAACTAATCCAGGGTAGGTACCCTGAGATGCAGAAGAAAAGAGTCCAAAAGGACGAGGAGAAAGACTCAGAGTCTGATGTAAGCCTTTATAAGCTTCCTTTTATAACCTATTCCCCTCTAATATTGGATTAGTGACCAAAGGAAGAGAATCCAAAAGACTCAAAGGAAGAGATTAAAGAACCAGATGACACTAATATGGATTCTAATGGAATAACAAAGGGACCAGAAACAGCCGATCCAGACATTCCTCCTAAGGGAAAAGTCGAGAACTTCCGCCAGAAGGTATACCTTGATAAGAAATGGCGTAAGGTTACCAAGTCTGAACACATCATCATGAATCCTCTGGGAGAAAGGATGAAAGTACTAACGCGCAAAGTCCAGTCGCCTGATGGGAATTGCAAAATCAGGCAAAAAATTACTAAACTTTAACTTCTTTATAAATTTCTAAAATAGAATCTGGAAGATATTAGAATTCTGGAACAATAGAGCTACCCAGACATATAACCTTCGTATATGATAGCTTACAACTCTGCCTCTCTTAGATAGCTAGGAGCGAGGCATAGGTCAAAAAATCTTTTGAATATATCTGCCTTGGATTGGAGGTTAGGATTTTAAAAAAGTCAGCATCCTTTCCAAATTCTAATTATTTATTAAATCCTTCTAGAACTTTCTGGGGTTTTGGGGTTTTGGGGTTTTGGGGTTTTGGGG